GGGGCGGTATTTACTCTTTGTTCTTCAGTAGGTTTGACTCTTTGTTCCTCAATAGGTCTCAAAAAGTTTGTATAGTAAAGTTGGAGATAATTATGAAAATGCCAAAGCATTTTTTATTTTTTAAAAAAATTGATATGATCTGTCCGATTTTTTTTTTTTTACAGATATAAGGCTGAGATTGGTTCTTATTTCTCTCCTAAGGGACTTGTGGAAAACTAAGAACTAATCACAACCTTACATCTGGAAAAATTGAACGCACCATATCAGATTAAAAAAAACGTGGTGGCAATTTCTTAATTATCACCAACTTATTATGCAAATGTGAACACTAAGGGGTTGTTTACTAATAGGGAATTTTCCAAAATTTCCAGAAAATTTGAGGGGATGCGTTTACTAATGCTATTTCCTATTTCCAAAATAGAAAATAGTTCTCTATTTTATAGGAAACCAGGAACACACCTAAAATATGTTTTCTGATTTGAAAACACACGCTTGATCAGTAAAATTAAAGGCATCGATTCCCACCGCCAACTTTTTATTCTCTTTCTTCCTCACTTTGCTTTGTCACTTTACTTCTGTTCTCTCAAGTTCACAATCACCAACTAACAGCTTCAATTCCCCTCAAACTCCCCTCAATTGGCTCATCCTTTGGCGACAACGAGACCAGGGTGGGCGATGGTAGTCCGTACCCTCGCCCACTCAAAGACGACGAGACCAGGTCTGAGCGGGCGACGGTAAAGGAACTACTTGCGGACTATCTATTGCATGAGGTCTCAGAACCAGTCCAAAAGAAAATTGGACTCACAGGACATAACAATCTGAAAAAAATATATATGAAGAGAAGTTTCGAAACAACATTCTGATCGCGAAGAATTCAACGAAGGCGAACAATGGAGAATCTATGATGCATGGACTTTTTCAGGTTTGCACATTTAGGGTATTAACGTTTTGCACATTTAGTGTTAACATTTTGCATATTTAGTATTAAAAGTTTGCACTTGCAACAATGCAAAAGTACGATACAATTAGGGTTTCGATTTTAGAATTTTGTGACTGAGTTTTTGATTTTATTTGGTCCAGTAGTTTAATTTTTACTGCTTAAGGTCTAACATTTACGATTTAGATTTAAAATTTAGCTTTTTTGTTGATTTTATAAAATTACCAGGCTTGCATATTTTTTTTTGAATGCTACTGGCTCTATTACAATATAGTATCTGTTCATATACTTTCTCAACCTACTGAAACACAAAGAACCAATAACGCCTCCACTAAGGCTCGAACTCACAACCTTCCAAATGGAAGTCCAACACCAGGCTTGCATATTTAGTTGTTAAAGATTACATATCTAAGTGTTAAAGTTTACATAGTACGTGGAGTTGATGGTAATTACGAAACTGTCACCGCGTCTTAAAAAAAAAAAAACTAATTAGATTCGTTGAATTTTTACAGATGTAAGACTAAAATTATATATATATATATATATATATATATATATATGGATGAGTTCTGGTGCGGAGATGCTCCCAGGTGAAAAATGGAGTTAGATCTGAGCCGTTGATCAAATTTAGATCAACGGCTCAAATCAATGAATTTTTTTTTAAAAGAAAAACGCGCGTCCTCAATTGCATCTCCCTTCTTCATGCTCCAAAGATAGCAACTCCACTATTTGCTATTATATTTTTTTTTTCTTTTGAATTAGATCATTTTGAACTTAGGAACCAAAACTGAAAAAATCAACAAGATTGTTGTATGAAAAAAAAATGTAAAAAGGATGCAACTTAAGAAGAAAATCAACGCACATTAAGAAGGAAAACAAAGCACCTTATTAAGAAGGAAAACAATGCACGTTAAGAAGAAAACCAGGCAACTAAAACTTTAGACCAACGCACCTTAAGAAGGAAAACAACGCACCTTATGAAGGAAAACCACACATCTAAAGCTTTAGACCGACGCACCTTAAGTACACAAACCACACACCTTAAGAAGGAAAACCACGCACCTAAAGCTTTAGACTAACGCACCTTAAGCACACATCACAAAAACCACACACCTTAAGAATGAAAACAACACACCTTAAGAAGGAAAACCATGCACCTAAAGCTTTAGGCCGACGCACCTTAAGTTTCAACAACTCACGCACTTAAGCATACAAACCATGCACCTTAAGAAGGAAAACCATGCACCTAAAACTTTAAGCCGACGCACCTTAAACACACAAACCACGCACCTTAAGAAGGAAACCACGCACCTAAATCTTTAGACTAACGCACTTAAGTTTTCAACAACTTACACACCTTAAGCACACAACACAAAAACCACGCACCTTAAGCACAAAAACCACGCACCTTAAATTTGACCTAGATGCAAAATTACCAAAATGTCACCACATTTTTTTTTTAAATCGTTGCTAATCTTGGACGTTGATTTAAGCAAGATCAATAGCTCTCACCTCACCGCACTTCCGCACCTAAACGCACCATCCTCATTTAAATCTAATTTTATATATATATATATATATATATATATATATATATATATATATATATATATTGAAAGGTGCCAGCGCGGTTGAATGTTTCCCGTGCGGTTGATTAATGTACGTGAGATTTGTACTTAATGTGCGTGAGTCTTGTGCTTAATGTGCCTGAGATTTGTATTTAATGTGCGTGAGTTTTGTACTTAAGAAGTGTGAGTCTTGTGCCTAAGGTGCGTGAGTTGTGAGCTTAATGTGCATACGTGTGTTCTTCATCCACTGCTGTGAAAATTATGTGCATCCACTGCTGCATTTTTTTCTTGTTTTTGTTTCGAAGTGGTGAAGGAATGGATTTTGTCTTGTTTTGCTTTGCATACTAAGGGTCCTTTTGAGTTTTCTTACCACCATCCCCAGTCTTCCTTTGTTTCAGCCTCATTCACAATGTCTTTTATGCTCTCACAAATTGAAACATCTGTACAGGAATCTTTCTTTCCTTCTTTCTCAATCTTTTCTCTCTCTCCTGTACAGATAAAACATAATCAGAACAGCCATATGTGCGTTTACATATATACATTCACACACAATCAGAAAAGCTTCACCCACTTTCTCTTTCTATTCTGCTTCTTTCTGAACTCGTAATTCTGAACTCAACTCACGCACATTAAGCACAATACTCAGGCACATTAAGTACAAAACTCACGCACATTAACATTACACACTCACGCACATTAAGTATAAAACTCACGCACATTAATTAACCGCACAACCGCACAGGAAGCCACAAATGCACCTGATCCCTTCCCTATATATATATATATATAGGGAGAGAGAGAGAGAGAGAGAGAGAGAGAGAGAGAGAGAGAGAGAGAGATAGAGAGAGAGAGAGAGAGAGAGAGAGAGAGAGAGGAAAAGCCACATTAGATTGCAAGCCTCCCACTTTCACCATTGCAGATAGCCTTATTATGTTTTTCCTATACTAATAGATTTTCAATAAAAAAAAAAATTGAAGATAAAAATTCAAGGTGATGCACTCATGAAGAGCTTGTGCTCGCTAAGCGAGAAAAATAACACAACTTCTATTAGTTCTATACTTATCGTTAGACTTAATTTTTCTCTGAATTTATAACATCTAAATATTTCTCATAGGGGTTCTCTAATAATACATGTATGAAAATTGCTATTTTTACCTACTAAAATTGTCATTCTAACATGGCAATAATTTTTTATTTTTAACCATGTTAAAAAGATATATTTATTAATCAAATAAAAAATCAATCAATGGAGCGTTTAGTTCAAACATAGGAATTGAAATCAAAATCAAATACTTATAATTTATGAAGTGATTGAGTTTTAGTAATGTAGGTTGTCTATTTGATAGTTATTGGAATTGGAATTTTAGGTAAATTATATATTATTGTAAATTTAAAATAATTTATTTTAATTTATATTATTAACAATATAAATTAATAATAATAATAATAATTACATTGCAATTCTAACACTAGAATTACAAAATTTACAATTCTGACATAAAAAAAAAAAAAAAAAAAAAAAGATTGTAAATTTTGCAATGTTTCATAATTATTAACCGGTCCTAATCAGGACTATTTGAGTTTAGACAAATAATTATTTTGATTGAAAATTTAAGATCACAGTGGTGAAATTTTATCAATTGAGGAATTAAATCGAGTATTAACTCTATTTTATATCTTAGCAATTTCAATAATTATATTTATATTACAAGTATAGTTAAAATATTTATTTTATATTTTCTAAATTTCAATATTAACCAATAGAGTCATGTTTTTTAATATTTATTAGTATTATTTGTAATATGTTGTGACGTCTAAAATGAAAATAAAAATTGCTAAATAATAATTAACAAAAGTAGTTATGACTTTTGAGAATAATTTTATACGGTGCATCAGACCGGCAGAATGCTTAGTTATTCAAAAGACAATCACCCATATCCCAATCGTTATATTGTGCATGCTTAGTTATTCAAAAGACAATCACCCATATCCCAATCGTTATATTGTGCATGCTTCCGGACTCAAAACGACGTCATTTTTATAAATTGTGTGAGGAGTTGATACAACGAACACCGTTCTGTTCGTCCAATTCCGTTATAGCTTTCTTTTTTAACACTTGTGTTTATGTTTATTCTGTTAAGAATTTCTGTATATTATATTAAAAGTTTATGTGTATTATATTAAGAATTTATGAGTATTATATATTATTTTAGATTATGTGCAGTATATTAAGAGTTTATGTGTATTCTGCTATACAATTCTATACATACAAAACATGAAATTAAAAAAAAAATAAATAAATAAACAGATACAAAACGACATCGTTTTGAGCCCGAGCACACAATGCCCTTGGTGCACGATATAATTTGCCCCAATACCCATATACCCCTATATTCCCCCCTATTCCGTGGTCCAAGTTTGAAGCAGAAATTTCAATCCATCTTGGGAAGAAAAATAAACGCAATTCACAACATACAGAGGTATATAATGGACTATTTGCACAAAAATAAAGTTGCGTATTCCAAAACCAGTAAAAGAATTTAACAAGTAGCCAGCTGCATTATTCAAACAGCATGCATTGTCCAGAACATGTGCGTAAATACAAAATTCAGAGCACAGTGCTCAAGCAACAACAAACAAGGAAGTTGAGAAATATGTGGTTTTCAAGATAAAAATCAAAGGTCAGCAGCTACATCCTGTTGCTCAAATACAAGCTTTATCCCTCTAATATATTAACCAATAAGCAACTTGTTCTCATCCAAGAAGGTGTAGGTCGGCACCTCTAGATTGTAGGGTGCAGGTCCTTTGCGAATCCTGCCAGAGATATCATAGTGGGAACCATGGCATGGGCAAAACCAGCCGCCAAAGTCACCAGCATTTGGTAAGGGTATGCACCCTAGATGAGTGCAAACCCCGATGACCACAAGCCACTCAGGATTCTTAACCCTCTCAATATCTTGTTGTGGGTCACGAAGAGAACCAACATCAACAGAATTTGCCAAATTGATGTCATCATCAGTTCTACGCCTAATAAACACGGGCTTCCCACGCCACTTAACTGTAACAGTTGTTCCAGGCTCGATGCTGGACAGGTCGACCTCAATCGAGGCAAGGGCAAGTACATCCTTACTAGCCGACATGCTCAGAACAAACTTAAGTACCAAGAGACGTACCAATGAGGCATATACAAACCTGCCTCCCGTCAAAACAAAGTAGGCAAATGCACGTTTGCTGGGATCACCAGGGGGATAACGTTCATGGTTGTGCTCATCATAGACAATCTTCGAGGTGGGATTCTTGATTGCCACCACTGTGGCAGGAAGACCTCCAGGTAAACCCACTTCTTGTGCTGGCGCAAGAGAACCAGATGAAAACCCTGGAACAGTTACAAATAGTCAAGATGTCAATTTCGCCACTAAAAACTAGTTACCTAAATACTCCGTATATCACACGCCCTATTGCCAAACAAGCATTTAACGTAAACAAAATAACGGCTAAAGAAATACTGAAAAATGCAAGAATAACCACAGATTTCTACTTAACACCACCTATGTCACCACAGTTTACCCTCTATATGAAGCCTTTCCTAAAAAATAAAGTGTGTTCTTATCAGTGATGCAGATGCATAGTGCCTCAGTTCTTTCTGATCTGCAAAACATTTTTGTGGTCCACTAAGAATTTCAAAACTGAGGTCAGTGGACTTCTGGTCAGCTGATTAAATGGTGCTGATGCATAAGCCCTGTTTTGCTGTGTCGTACAAGAAATGTGGCCAAACAGTGTAAATGCCTATAGTTGAAAGAGACAAGCTCAAGCCATCCAAGTTAACATTTCAATTAATACCTAGTAGAAATACTTTCAATTTCTTATTTATACTATTTCCAGCCCAAGATATCACAAACACATCCAAAGGCCTAAAAACCCATCCAAACTAGTAGATATGATTGTGAAAGACAGCAATCATCATAGTTTGGAGTGCAAAGTGCAATGACTTCTCCACAACTTGCAATTGATGATGAAACTATCAAACGGAGAGGATATTCACATACCTACTGAATCAATTTACCACATTTAAAAGAAGCCAGAGATAAAGGAATGGACAAGATAAAACATAAGATAGTGACTTCGATAATATCTTTCACAACTTATTAAAGAAGCACATTCTTTCTTTTTGACCTTTCTCAATTTCATTCAAACTGAGGGTGTGTTTGGTTCGCACATAGGAATCGGAATCGGAATGGGTATCAAATACTTGGTAATGGTAATGGGTTTTGGTGAAAGTATTTAACATGTTTGGTAGTAGGGTGGAATGGAAATGGTTACTAAAGAATGAATAAGGGAATGAAACCCTTATTTTATTTGGGTATGGGTTTTTCAATTGATGGGTATTCGAAACCCATACTAGTGTTCTAAAAACCTATCAACCAAACAACAACAATCACTTCCATACCCATTCCTATGTGCAAAACCCACCAACCAAACACACCCTGAGTACCTCAATAACACTAACCACAAAAATTACACAGTACTCTATGTAAAAATATGGGCACCTTTTATGACATCATCTTATAAATCTCAGCAACGACTCAATTAATCAACAGAAGCTACACTATGAAAGGACAATGATGCAAATATCAATAAAATAGTTATCACCTATCATCTGAATTCATCTAAAAAGAATTGAAGATAACAAAACATATGGATATGATAGGGCATCAAGAAGTACTATGGGCCAAAATATACATGGAACGTGATTTCAAAAAGCAAGAACAACCAGTTTCTGATAAAAATAACCTAAATCTATTGTGAGCGAAATTTATTCCTCGAGCGGAAAAGTAATTCTCGTTTTCACGGAATGTGAGTTAAACGCACTCAAAGCTAGAAACTTGTATACATCTGCAGATCCAAAACAAACTAAAATTCAAATTAAAAAATCGGAGCTTCAATAAACTGTCATTCACACAGAGAATTAAAGGGGTCAACAACGACGAAATCCCTAAACGAAGTAAATCAGGAGCTAAAATAGTAAAACACAGAAGGGCAGAAGAACAGAACCGAACCTCTGATTTGATCCAGAACCGTAAAGCCGAGGGATGGCGAAACGGATCTCTGGGACATCTGATTGTTCGAATCATCAGAAGCGGCGAGCGAATTTCTTGGAACGATGGCAGGATAGGTTTGCGCAACCGACCGCCATGAAGATGATGACAGAGAAGACAGCCGCCGCCCTGCTACTCTCAGCATCTTTAACGCCTTGAATCTCTCTCTCTCTCTCTCCTCTGCTTCTTTTGATTTGGGGAGCTGTAGCAACTAGGGTGCCGGGGATGAATCGACTTCCTTCGTTTCTGTTTTCGCTTCTCTCTCTCTCTTCAAATACGAGTTTACCGGTATGCAAATCAGCTGTTCTACGATGTCGTTTTAAGACTCTTAAATTATGGTAGTCAAACGCGAATACGCGATTCCAGAAAAATGGCGTAAGACCACGTTTGTTAGCTTAACAAAAACAGATGAATAATAGGATTTGAAGTTTTGAACAAACAAAAAACCACCACTCTATCCACCGGTCGTTATACTGTGGACTAGGGTTATAAAAGAATCGAATCGAGTCAAATATCTCACTATTCAATTCGAATTTGATTATTTATTTAAATATTTGTATTCGTATTCGTATTCGTTTAATATTCGAATATCGAATTTGATTTGTATTTGATTCGACCAGTTTAATAGAATATATTCGATTCGACTCGAATATTCGAATTTGAAATGCCTAACTTTATTTTTTAGAAAATTTTTTAATAAATTAATATAAAATGTAATAAAAAATTATATTTCAATAGCATATATATATATATATATATATATATATATATATATATATATATATATATATATATATACACACACACACACACACGAATCGAATACACTCTAATTCGTATTCGAAAAGAATTCGAATAAAAAAAAATATTCGAATTTGGATTCGTATTTGAAATATTCAATTCGAATTCAAGTCATGAATCGAATTTTTTTTACTCTAATTCGTATTCGTATTCGAATCGAAAAAAATATTCGAATTCGGATTCGTATTTGAAATATTCGAATTCAGTTTCGTATTTGAAATATTTGAATTCGGATCGACATATTCGAATTCAAATCACGAATCAATTTTTTTTTTATTTGATTTGTTTACACCCTTACCGTGGACCATGGTTCAAAAACGTCGTCGGTTTTTAAGTAAAGAAACGGATGTCGTTACATTTTAACAGAATCCGTATTTTTTGTGTGTTCATAATATAATTAAACTACAGTGTATCTAAAATGAAAATATCTCACATATTGTTTTTATATTATCAAATGAAACTGTAATTGAATTGAAATAATACTTTAATTGTGTTGAAATGAAACTGCAGTATGTATAAAATGTAACTGAATAATATGTCTCACATATTGAGTGTATATTGTCAAATAGAACTGTAGTTGATTATAAATGATATTGTAGTTGTGTTGTAATGAACTGCATTGTATATAAAATGAAACTGAATAATAGTTTCACATAGTTGAATGTATATTGTCAAATGAAACTGTAGTTATATCAAAATGAGTAAAAGACATTTTTGGTCCTAGACTTATAGTGGCACAGACAATTTTAGTCCTCTTTAAAAAAATCAAACAATTTGTGGACACCCTTATTGTGACGAGGACAAGTTTGGTCTTCCGTCAATATTCCCGTTAGATGGCCTGTTAGATAAGGGGTAATTTCGTCTTTTTAGACCTTCATCCTTCCTCCTTCCTTCTTCCTTCTTTTTCCCTCTTACTGAGTGAGTACTGACTACTGACCAAACGAAAAAAATAAAATCCATCATAGAATTGGAGATCTCAGCGAACTCACTCTTCAATTTCGTTTATTTTGGTAGGGGTTTAACTTCCGATTAGATTTCTTCCCCAAACAACCTCTTCTTGTTCGTTTCTTCCCCAAACTCAATCCAATTTTCTTCCTCAAATTCACATCGATCTAAGACTTCACAACTATTGAAAAGAAAATCAACAAGATAGGGTTTTGATTATGGCCAAGTTTTCTGGGTGGAGGAGGCGGGCGAGCGGACGATAGTGGTGGCGGCAACGGCGGTCGCAGAGATTGGTCATGCGGAGGATGGGATGAGAAGGGTGGAGAGAGAGGAGGTGGCGGTGGCGGCGGCGGCGGAGGCTCAGATCTGTTCGGATCTGGGATTTGAAACGCATCTGCTCAGATCTGGGATTTTTCGCATGTTGAAGCTGACCGTGAACTCCATGGGAGAGGATCTGTTCTGGGCAATCAGCGGCCGCGGCCGCGGGAGCTTTGGGGTGATTTTAGCCTACAAAATTGAACTAGAATGCCACCGTCGGAAAGAGAGGTTGTCATTGCCGGATCTGGAGTGCCCCACGTCTACTACACGCTGGAAAGGACCAAAGGTCATCCGAGCTCATCGAGGAAGACCGTCGTTGCCGCCGTCGATGAGAAGAAGAGATCAAAAGATAAGGGAAGCGGAGCTCGTCGTTGCTAGAGGGACTTCTCTCGTCGCCACTACTGCACCCTGTCACTGCTTCGCCGGAAAACCAGAGGACGCCGCCGGTGGGGTGTTGCAACTCTTGGTGAGTTGTGCTACTGTCGATTTGCCATTGAGAAGAGAGAGAGAGACGAGAGAGAGAGAGAGAGAGAGAGACGAGAGAGAGAGAGAGAGAGAGAGAGAGAGAGAGAGAGATAGAGAGAGAGGGGAAGAGAGGAGGAGATGGGGGTTGTTGGTGGATTAAACTTGTTTGTTGTTGGCAAGGAAGAAGAAGGTTGAGGATGGGTGGTATTGTGGCTGCCATTGTTGTTGTTGTTGTTGTTTTCGTGAATAGAGAGAAACAAAGAGAAAATGGGTTTGTTGTTGAAAAGAGGCAATTATCCCTGCTCAAAGGGGCATCTAATGGAAATATTGACAAAGGATCAAAATTGTCCTCGTTACAATAAGAGTGTCCATAAATTGTCTAATTTTGTTAAAGAGGACTAAAATTGTCCTTGCCACTATAAGTTTAGGACCAAAAATGTCTTTTACTCTATCGAAATGATGCATTATCATTATTATATCTAAAACTTTGGTAAATTTATTATGCAAATTGTTTGTGCCAGTTAGGACATTTATTAAATTAAATTTACTAGGATAAATAAATGGTTTGTTATTAAATGATAGTCTGCACATTATGCAATTAAATGGTTTGTTTGAAGGATAAATTTACTATCTAGTTTCGTGGTTAGATTGCCTGTTTGTCTCTTTTCCCATTGGCGACTCTACTGAGTTTTTGTATGGAGATGAGAGGGATCGGATGTCGAGAAGGCTGAGAAAATTTTACTGGGATCGAGAGATGTGCTTATATTTGGAGGCAAACACAGCTCCTCTTGCCTTGTCTCAAGTCACAAACCTCCCTCCTAGGCGTCTAAACCTCACCTTCACACAAGACTAATGAAACTACATTCACGTAAGCATTCATACTTTGGTTTCAACTTGCGTTTCTAGTATTTTTCCCACAAAGGAAGCAAGCAAAGGATAAGATTTTAGATTCTAGTGAAAAGCCTTAAGTCTTCCGTTGTAAACAAGACTTAATAACTTTTAGCTCCTGAGAGTACGTTTGGTTCAGGTCGTCTTAGATTACTAATTTGAGTCTGGTAATATTATATTACCTTGTTTGGTTCAAGTTATGAGATTACTTAGTAATGTTATATTACCTGAAAGCTGATGTGACGCTAATGTTTCAAAGCTAATTTGATTACCCCATTTTCTGAAGTAACCTTAGATTACCTTGAATTATTTCAAACCTTTACCATGGTTAACTAATCCTTATATAATAATAATAATAATAATAATAATAATTAATATGTTTATATATATATATATATATATATATATATATATATATATATATATATATATATATATATTATTTAGAACATTATTTTAAATTGATTCAGGATTAATCACTGTGTCCGACAGTAGAAACCCTGGGTATACTAACAAAAAAAAAAACCCTTAACCAAACAAGGTGATATTATATTACACCATCTAAGCCAAACACACAAGGTAATCTTACATTACCAAAATCTCACAATATCTTCTAGGAGGTAATCTTATTATCTGGGGTAATCCAAGATTCCGTGAACCAAACGGCCCCTGAAAGTCTCCCTAAGAAGTAGGCTATATGGTTAGCACATATGTTGGGGCAAAATTCTGTATAAAGTAACTGTCTACTACAAATTTTTTCATTTTTGTCTCCCTTTGAAAACTGATCATCAAATCCCTAGTGGATAGAATTTTTCATCTCTTTCATTTTCATTTGATATTTTATGTATCATCGTTATCCATATTCTTTGAACACTTCTTATGTGTCATCATTATCCATACCTTGTTCTCAGTCTCCAGTTTTGCAGCCTGTTAATGGAGTCCTAAAGGAAGAGTCTCTATACAATACTATAATAGATCATTGTATTAATTGTGCGAGATTATAAATATTAAATTGTATGTGGTTGTGATATGATATTTGACGGTAAATATGTTAGCGGATAATATTATTGTATGAGTGAGTCAAGGTAAATTGTATTGCTATAGTTTTAGTACAGAAATCAGAGTGTGTCCCTACTCAGCAAGGAGCCTTCTACTTATACTAAGTTTCCTAACTGTAAGTAACGGCTACAGCATGATGAGGAGCCTAACACTTATTTCCCTGTCTTGAATGGGCGGTAGTAAATGACTCGTAGTAAATAACTTTGCCCCTTGAACTTCTGCCCGTTGGAATCTTAAATGGTACCGGGTCAGGTATTTGTTGGTCCAGGTCGGCTCCCATTACTCTATCACCAGCGCCTACTCCCGAGTCAGCAAATGTAACTGAGCTGGCTTAGGAGTAAAATTGCATCAAACATCATTTTTTTTTCTTTAAACAAGCCACAAAGGCACGATCTCGGCACGGGACTTGGCCAGTTTTGGCCAAGGCGGGCCTCGACTTGTTTAGGTCGAGGCGGACCTCGGCCTGTTTAGGCCGAGGCGAACCTCGGCCAGTTTTGGCCGAAGCAGACTCGGCCAGTTTTGGCCTAGGCAGACTCGGCTAGTTTAGGTCGAGGCGGATCTCGACCAATTTGGTTTAGCCGGGGCAGCCTCGGCCAAGTTTGACCGAGGCGGACCACGTCCAATTTTGGCCGAGGCAGATCTCGCCCAATTTGGTTTGGCCGAGGCGAACTCGGCCAAGTTTGGCTGAAGCGGGCGTCGGCCAGTTTTGGCCGAGGCGGACCTCTGCCAGCCTTGGCCGAGGTTAGTTTTGGCCGAAGTCGACCTTGACCAATTTGGCCTGGCCAGTATGGCGTGTCTGAGCGGGACTCGACAAATTATTTTATTTAGGGAAAATGGTCAAATATGCCCTCAAACTTTTCATAAGGAGTCAATTAGGCCCTCCAACTTTCTAAAGTTGCAATTAGACACACGAACTCTTAATCTCGATGCAAGAAGACCCACTGACCGGGTAACCACCTGCGCTGACTAGGCACAATCTTTACACATTTGGCTTGTCACTCAGCAAAAAAAATAAAAAAATAAAAAATAAAAACAAAATGGGGGGGGGGGGGGGGGGGGGAAACAAAATATTAAAAATATAAATAAGAAATACGCTCATCTTCAAACGCGCAATAGCAAACCAATGGCATCAGATTTTCGTGCTTCACCTTTCTGAGAGTTTCTGTTTCTACAAAGAATTCGCGGTCTCCATGGATTTCCCGGCCTCCATAGAGCCACTTGATAGCGATAACTCGGCCCCCTGGCAATCTTCCTTTGTATGATGTCCCCAAGCCTCCATTGCTAATGATATAGCTCCTGCTAAAGTTATCAGTGGCGGAGACGATAGCTGCGTGCTTGAGTCTCATCTTCAAACGCGCACCAGATTTTCGTGTTTCACCTTTCTGAGAGTTTCCATTTCAGCAAAGAATTCGCGGTCTCCATAGAGCCTCTTGACAGCGATAACTCGGCTTCGCTCGGCCCCTTGGCAATCTTCCATTGTATGTTGTCCCCAAGCCGCCATTGCCAATGATATTGTTCCTGCTAAAGTTGTCTGTGGAGGAGACGATAGCTGTGTGCTTGAGTCTCAATAGAGTGTGTTCAAATGCTGCGATGTTGATGCAAAGAGGCATCTTTGTCTGAAGTTGATGATCATCTATGTAGGAAGTAGGGTGATCTGTTCTCTTAGCACTATCAATACCTCTGTCTATAAGTAGAGCTTTTTGTTTCCAAATTTTGAATGAAAGAATTGCGATTATCACAGCGAACACAAAGAGAGGTGTGGCAAGTAGGGGTGTGCGTTGGACAGGTTCGGACGAATCGATTTTTCTGAAGCACAACCCATTCGGATTTCGGTTTAAAAATTTATAATCCAATCCGAGAAAAAAATATCATAAACCCATCAGATTATCCTAATTTCGGGTTCAGTCGGGTATATCGAATTGTCGGATTAAATCGGATTTGAACATTTGATAATATTTGGATTAGATCAGAGTTGTGTTATTCCACTGTGATGTATAGTGACAGTATGATTTTATATATGGAACATCCTGTTTTTTCCTTAGCATGTTCATCAGATAAAACTACTATATAGGATGCATGTCTTAAAACTAATTTCGTCACTTGTACATTTAACTGGCAATGGAATGAAAATAATATGCAATGTGGTTTCTTGCCTCTCATCACAAAGGCAGCAATCATATTGAAAGAATATGACTTTGGTAAATATTTTTCCACAAAGAATCTGCCAATACAATCTGTCAATATAATATGAAAATGTATGAAGCATCTGCCAAAGTATAATATGCCAAAGTATAACAATCTGCCAAAGTATAACAATTACAAAAGTTGTATGAAGAAGCCAATCTGCCAATCATAAAGCACAACCATACATTTTCATTCACATACTTGCCAAATCAAAATTTTTGCCATTGTTTACATGTTGCCAACTGAGATTTTTTGCCATTGTTTACATATTGCCAAAGGCATAATTCAACACCTAAGTACATAAAACAGTCAAAAAAGATTCAAATGGCAATAGTACCAAAAAAGTTTGTTTGGCAAATAACAAAAAAGTTTATGATAGTTTGCTTGTCAGTCCATTAGTGCAACATCTTGTTGGCCACTCCTATTAGGGCATGTTCTTTTATAATGACCCGCGTTCTTACAAAGAGAACAATGCATCTATTTTCCCTTTTTCGATACCCTTTTCTTGACACTACCCATGGTAGTTGTAGTAGTGGATGGCTTCTGACGAGTTGGGACTTCATTGGCCTCACAATTTCTTTTTCTTTTTGGTCTACCTGCCATCTTTTTTGGTATTGGAGCAAGTATCTCCTCAGATTGTGCCTTTGGCCAGAATAACTCTCCATTCATCGGCTAAAGTGTATGCGCATATGTCCTTAGGTAACTCTCTTTTGAATAACAGGAATCAATGTATTCTTCTGGGTCCCTTCCAGTATCAAAGATTGCACAAATTGCATGTGGACATGGTATACCAAAAAGATCCCATGAGTTGCATGAGCAGCTTCTACCTGCAAGCAGGTTTCACTTTGAATTGTTGTCTTCCTTTCTTAATTTCATAACCATCATCTCCACTGAAATCAACCTAGTATAATATAATAATCAAGTTAGAATATAATTACAGAGTAATGTTTACTGGCAGTGGGCATTGCACAATATAATTAAAAGGAGGGCAATGAGACAGTAATGAAAGAGATAATGTAATTACCTTCCATACCATACTTTCACCTATGTTTGCAGTTAGTTTCTTCATTACCAAGGGTCCATAATTTCCTATCCACCTTTCAACATCTTTCCTTTTTTTTTTTTTTTTTTTTTTTTGCAATCCTCTTCATCATCCCTATTCTTATGTCTTCCAACATAGGGATAATGGGCTTCACTCTTGCTTTCACCAAAGTGCCATTAAAAGCCTCACTCAAATTGTTATCTACAGCATCACACTTAACAAATGTCCTAAAGAAAGCCTTGCACCACAACCTTGGAGGGTACCTTAACACACATTGACACATATAACTTAACATTAACACACAGATATCCTAAAATAATATATATATATATATATATATATATATATATATATATATATATATATATATATATATATATATATATATATATATATATATATATATATATATATAGGCAATAGATTTAAGAAACAATTTACCTTTCGAATTCAGCTTTTGCAGTACGGTCCATTTTTCTAGACACTTAAGTTGTTCCTGGAATTGAGATTCAGTTGTAGCCTTGACACACATCCAAAAGTGTTTCTTCAACACTTTCCCTCGATGTAGCTTACTCCAATTAGCATGCACATGCCTTGCACAAGTACAGTGCTCGGAGTCAGGAAACAACTCTTGAATCACATGTGTTAAACCCTACAAAAGATATAAAATACAATATATTAGATAATTATTCAAGTAAAATGCATAAGTGGTATTTCAAGATAATGGTATTTTATTATTTTTGTTTTACCTTTTGTTGATCACTGATTATTGTCCATGGATAAGTATTGGTGATGCCCAAATTTGTTTTCAATAACCCTAGAAATCACCGCCAAGAATCGGTGTTCTCTACGACTGCCCATGCTATTGGTACATTTGGTTGTAAGAATCTCTACCAACTGCACTTAAGATTTCACATTTCAAAGGTCCTTTTAGAAAGCACCCATCCACCCCAATTACTTTCCTACACCCTTCTAAAAACCCTAACTTTAAAGCCCCAAAGCAAACATAAAATCGTTGAAACACACAAGGACTAGTAGGGGTAATTCTATTAGTTTTTACTTTTGCATTTGTTCCAGGATTTGAGTTCATACATTCATCAGCATAATCCCGGATTCTGCGAAATTGATCTTGAAAACCAGCATTTATTTTTTTTTAGTATGGCCTTCACTGCTCTTCTCACCATGCATATGCCCACATTGAGTTTCGATTCTGATTTGATGTGCTTTTTCAATTCTATTGTTCCAATAGCAGGGTTATCTCTTACCTTATCCACTTTTGGTTCACAATTTCCAAGCTGTATTTTAGATTACATTTGTGTACTGCAGTTAGTGTTTTCAGTTGGAAGCATTTTAGACTTTCATCCCATGAACCAGTAGCTTGAAATGGGCATGGCTTTACACATGCAACTGAAACTCTCTTTGGTTCATTTTTCACATAGTGAATGTTTCTCTTTGTGTAGAGCGCATAATTTTTCATCGCCTTCTCGAATTGATTCCCATCATCATATAGAGTTCCCAATTCAAGCTCCATTAAAACATTAGGATTATGAAGGGTTTCTGAATCT